ATGAATAAAATCGAAAAATGGTAGAATAAATAATTTGTTCTGGGTAAGGCATAGATGATGGATTAATCTGTTTTCTGGGTTTAGATTATGACAAGCTGAAAGCACATCCATACATCCATGCATAATAATCTAATTATGTGATTTCAGAATCAATGTTATCAGCTATCTTAATCCATGAGTTGTCTTTCTATTGAAAAGAAATGTCACTACTTCTCACTTTTGTTTTGTTCGGTTTCATTCGCTAATCACTAATCGGTCCATTTAATATTATTGTATAAAAGATAGACGGCTGTTCATGATTTACAACTAATGTGATGAAAAGTCAGAAATCCTTCGTCATCCGCATGTGATGCGTAGAAATTGATTAATCCCTACCGGTTAAGTAGGTGTTTGACATGGATGCTGGGAACATCGGATTGTTTTTTGAGAAAACAATGTTAGGCACGAGTATCGTTTTCTAAATCGGTGTTATCATAAAGGTGTTTTTTAAGAAAATAATACTGGTTTTATTTGGTATCAGTGCTAGTAATAATATTTTCAATCATGATTTTTAAAACCGACCTAGTGATTGAACCGGTCAGAGGTCCGGTTATCGGGTCAAATGGTTCGATCATTCGAATCGAATGCTCGGCCCGTTCCTGGTTTTTCTAGTCCGATTGTCCGATCCAGTCCGGTTTTGAAAACCATGTTTTCAACATTGATCTATATTATCCAATGTCTAAAATGATGCCACATTGATGCTATGTCATTGCATCGATGGCAACAATGCACTGTTTTATCAAAAAACATTGAATTTGACGTTGCTCTAGACCACACTTTACAGGTTTCTAAGGTGTGGTTTGGAGCTACATTTTTTCTTAAAAAATGGTACCAAACAAGAGGGCATTGTTTGAAGTACTACTTTCTCTGATGTGATGCCTATGTGGTGCTACCGTTTTCTCAGTAAAAAGCATCGATGCCAAACATTGCCTAAGTATATGTTTGGCATCGATGCTGCAGATACAACACGTTCACATATCTGCTGATGTATGGGTTGGAAGCACCGTTTTCTAAACAGTGTCTTTTTTTTTCTGTTTGGAAACGTTGCTGCCAGGTAGGACGTTTCCTGAAGCAACAACAACACTTTCTGTTTGGTACCTGTGCAGCTGTGCTACATGTTTGTTTTCAGCATTGATACCTATTATAGGAAGTCCATGCCACTGCCACATCACGTCCTCATTGACAACAACGAGCTGTAATCTGAAAAAAACGCTAAATTCGACATTGTTCTAAACCAAGCCTTCTTGATTTTCAAAATATGACTTAAAACACTATTTTTTATAAAAAATAGTTCCAAATAGGCATTTCCTAAAACACCATTTTTTCCTATATAACGTTGATGTATCCCCATTTTCTGGAACAACGGCATCGATGCGAAATGGACGCTAAATCAACATTATCACAGTTAACAAATTCCGGGCTTTGCAGGACGTTCCTTTCCATTCAAATTTATATTAATCTTTCTGTTTTGTCAATTGTCATAATCAATGCCACCAAATTCAAAGTTCTTCCGGTATCTTACTTTCCGGCATTGTAGGTATTCCCATGACATGATTATAAAACTCAGACCGGTCATTGATCCGGATTTCCTACCAGGTACCGGACTGACTCGTTTGGTTTTAGTTATTCAAACTTTGGTGCCAATTAATGAAAGCTAGGAACCTTCGTGGAATTTGAGACTTCAAGTTTGGGGGGTTGGGTTGGGTTCAATGTTTTGCTCGCTGCTGGTGCTGGGTCATCATCAGATCAGGCGCCTTTCAAGGAGAGAATGGCGATTGACTCCCGTCATAGTTCGAGTAGGTCCACCAAATCTCTCTTCATGTACATTTTAGTCATATCGACTTCCTATACGTCAAAATTTAACGACGTAAGCTGCATGGAACCGTCTTTGTCCGGTGTGACCGGATCACAGTTGCTTTGCACTCCTTCCTTTGTCCTGCTTTCTATCATGTTCTCTTCTAATATGAGATTTTTTTTTTTGTTTTCTGAAACCTCGCTAAAGTTTGATAATTGCAATAAACCTTTTTTGAATTTTTTGATACGATTGCAAATAGATCCCTTCAGGGTTCAGAACTTTTGTTAGAATATTTTAATATGAGGCATACAAATATTTAAAATACCTATGCAGTTGTTATTATTGAGGCTGGTTTTAGGGAAAAAATATAGTCCAGGTTTTATGAACAAAAGAATTTATATATATACAGTTTTACCTTTGAGCTATTCATATGAAGGATAAATTTAAAAAATAAATCAATTTTAGAATAGAGATCAAAAGAGTTTGAAGTAGTCATTGATATATGAAGAAAAAATTTAAAAAATATTCTCATTAAAAGTAATGGAATGGGTATTGTGAATATTTTCATGCCTTTTAGTAGAGATAGAGAAGTCTACTTCCAACTGTATTAAAAAAGTTCAAGAGATAATAAGTTCAAATACCAGACTTAAGGGGAAATTTCAACAACTGCCTCGCAAACTTCAAGAGAGGTTTCGGCAATTTACCCTTTTTTTTTAATAATCCCATTTTTTGTCAACAAACCAAACCCACTTTACATCTGATTTCCCGTGCCACATAGTTGAACATCATAACTCATGGGTATCCAGTTCAATCTTGGCAACGCCTGGATGGTCGCTTACTAACAATTCAAGCAGAGAACTCCAAGTGACCCACTTGCAGCATTAAAATGGGACCAGACAAACATAAAACGGCAATAATTCGACTTATAAAGCAGATTGACTAATAAAACATTAAAACAATAAGTCGATTGACTAACAAAAGTCTTACTACGCCACTGAAATTCGAGCTCCTACAGAACTTTAGTGGATCCATATCCACCTCTTGTACCCTTCCCCTAGGGGTGTCAATGGACAGGATAGGATTAGAATTGAATTTGGATGGTATGTTATAATTATTGGATTGGGTTAATGTTAATGTAAAATAAGTTGGTCAATATCTAAAACCAAATTCTCAATAATCCGATCTTAAAGCCAAACTCTTTTCTAATTTGAAATCAATCAAAACTGAAGCTTGCATAAAAATATTTTTATGAAAATATTTTCATATAAGTAATTTTATGAAAAGTACTTTTACGAAAGCATTTTTATGAAAACATTTTTATAAAAGTATTTTTACACAAAAGCACTTTTATAAAAGTACTTCTACACAAAAAACACTTTTATAAAAGATTGTATGAAAAGTACTTTTACGAAAGTAAAGTATTTTTACATGAAAGCACTTTTATAAAAATATTTTTTACGAAAGCACTTTAATAAAAGCACTTATAAAAAGTACTTTTATGAAAACACTTCTATGAAAGTACTTTTATAAAAACACTTTTACGAAGTACTTTTATAAAAGCATTTTATGAAAGTACTTTTACAAAAGCACTTTTATGAAAGTATTTTTATCAACGTACTTTTATGACTTACAAAAGTACTTATATTCATTCACTTTGGATTGGATTGGATTGCAATAGGTGTTGAAGTTTTTTTATATATTTTTTGGATTTCTCATGTTATTTTGGTGTTTGATTCAACTTGGATTAGATTGGACCCAATCTGGTCCATTTGCATTTTATTTGGACCAGAATGGACTTGGTTTGTTTGTATTTAGACTGGATTTGGTCCAATCCATTTGTAAATGGACTAATATTGGATTGGACCGGATTGGACCAAATCCAGTCCAATTGACAGCACTACTTCCCCCCAACCCAAATAAAGACAGATCCGGAATATTAGTGAATAATAAAAACAGACCCCCTACATCAGTATTAACCTCAAGCCAACTGGTTAGAAGTGTCGTGTGATCTATTCATCTAAAATGCGCTGCAAAGTTAACGCTGTACCATCGTTTGCAAGAGTTATTTTGTTTTCTAGTCACTAGAGTTCTAATGTTTTATTTCTATTTGTTTTAAATTCTGGATTAGGTAAGTCTGAAATATTGAAAATTTTGTCTTGGTTGGCCTTTTCTTTTTATTATATCTGACACCCAAGAAATAATCACATTTTCAATAATAATTCAAGGTTATCTTATAATTGGGTGTCGAATTATGTTAACAATGTAATTCAGTTTGTAGATGGGAGATTGGATATTCTTTCTAAACCTGTAAGTAATGCTCTGCAGGAAGATTGAAATAGTCAAGGGCTTATGATTCCTCTTTGTGATTGGGGTGTTACTAAAGAAGGTTTTGGCTCTCATGGTATCTTGCCTTGTATTATTCTCGGCAATTCGGTTTGGCTCCAGTAATAGATTAGGCAAGGTTTCAAATTCTATGGAAGCTGAAACTGCATGCAATTTTAAAAGCTTGTTTATTGGCAACAGAGCAGTCAGATGCTAAAGCTGTTTTGGACTCGCTAAATAGGAAAAGTTGTGCAATCATATGGTTTTTGGACATCTGGGTCGGTTTTATTTATAACTCTTTAAATTCCTTTCTTGATGTTAAGTTTGTTTATAAACCTTGTGTCTTTACCAAGCCTTCTAATTTTTAAGCTCAGTGGGCCAAAGTCTTTGGGGACTTTTGTTTTCATGGACCCCAATTACCTATTGTTCTGTGACAGTTTTATTTAGTGGAATAGTTTTATTTGCCTACCAAAAAAAAAATCTAATTACTTGCCTAGTTCTTTGTTCTTGAGGTTCATGAAAGTCCATTAGATGTTCATTTTAACTGAACCTGGGGCATCCCTCCGCTGCAATTCATGTAACCACACCATTGAATCTTCTCTCTTTTTCTTTGTTCATCTTCTAGACGGCAATAGAGTACAAGCAGATATCTCTGGAAATTGAATGTATCGGTTTCAAATCCCAATAAGATAACTAATCTTGGTATCTGACATCCAGCTATTGATGTATTGCCAATATATAAATATACCCAGAGAAGTTGATATTATGTCATATTTGTTTTAGGGTGAAAACGAGAAGAATGCTATTTCTTTTTTGGTTATTCTTTACCCGGGGGCGGGGGGGGGGCACTGAACCTTCTAGATCAATAACTAAACTGATTATATCACACATATCCAAGATAAAACATGCGAGAAAGAAGCTTCCTGCAATTGGAAACACAATACAAGCTCTGAAAATGACCTGATAGGATACAATGATTTCTGAGATGCTACAGTCAGACATGTTCAGGTGATGGAGGCGGAAACAACTTATGTTGTTGCATTGCCTACAATCAGGATTCAGGAAGCCCCACCTTAATTGGAACCTGTTGAAATAACAATAGATATATATAAGGAAGTTGCTGATGAATGATATTTTGTATTGTGTATTGTGTCCAAATCCTATAAGAATGATATTTTCTAATCCAGCCAAGTCTAACCAAACTTTAAATAATGGCTCTATGACATACCATCAATTTATCCCTTTAATTTGCAAGGATCGTAACACCACAAGCAGTGGGAGGATGTCTCCCCTCAGTGTAGACAAGGTTCCCTCTCACAAAAGTTGCCAAAACTTTCCCAGATAGTTTCATTCCCATGTAGGCCGAGATACTCTGCGCATAGAGGAAAACACAATCCAGTAAGAAATGCTAGAATTCCTTGGTTAACTTTGTCAATCCTAAGACATTTTGGGCCATGGTTTCACTGAAGACTACAATCTTGAGCATTTTCAGGAACCTGTGGGCCACAGATCATTAAGACCGGAAACTGTGATGGAGGAATCAAAACAGAGAATGAGAAATATATGATCATCCATTTGCTACATTTTTTGGGCCTAATTAATGATAGTAAACAATGAAAAATAAACTAGAGTGAACACTTGTTTTTCATTTTATGAAATCCTGGCATTATATCAAAAGTGAAGTTGTTTAATCAAGCTGACAAGCATCAACTTGATCATTTTTTTTCTCTTAGTTCAAAGTACCAAGTCTATTGAACAAGAAAAGCACATGTAAGAAAAAAAACATACAGGATGTTTATGGTATGTAGCATGGTTCTCGTTGAGTTCAAATTCAGTATCAGGTTCCCATACAACAATATCTGCATGGTTTCCACTTGCAATAGCTCCCTGCATGAATTCCATTTTTCTGGAGTTATAAAATGGGTCTGAAATTAACAATTGAAAGAATAATAATTAATTCAGGAAAACATACTATATAAGAAGTATGAAGTTGTATCCTGAATGAACCAATGAATTTTGGGAGCATATAATTACTATTCATGTACATAAAGTGTCAGATAATAAACCTTTGGAACCCAGAAAACATTTACACATTGAAAAGAAAAGAAAAACATTCATAGAAGTGAAAATAATGGTGCTTCTTTTTGGTTTAGGGTCACCATGGGATTAAGGTCTTCATCTGTCCTGATTGAAAGGGATTTCCATATAGAAGTAGAGTAGTATAGGATTTGAAAGAGGCCTGTGGAGATTGCTCCACATGCTTAATGAAATCCAGATTCCCTTTGGTTCTTGTCCAACTGTGGGGCACATTTCTAGGATTTGAATGTTGTTGCTGATGGTCTAGCTAAAATGGGGGCCAACGAGGATGCATTGTAAAGTGGGTCTTCACTGCCATAGCAAGATCATATACCTTTTTGCTTGACTTGTATTTCATTGTTTTTATAATTTTCCATATTATACAGCTTTCTTGATTTTATATGCATAAATAGCTAACATACATGAATCCGGTTCCACCATTATACTCTGTTCAGTGCCATATAAGATCAGCAATAATCTTATTTCAAAAAACCTAGGAGTAGCTCCAACAGGTGATAAAATAAGGGAAAGTAGACTATGGCGGTTTGGGCATGTGCAAAGAAGGCCATCTACAGCAATAGTGAGAAGAAGTGATCTCTTGCAAGTTAAGGAGCTAGAAAAGCTAGGGGTGGATTGAAAAGAACGTGGGCTTAAAGTAGTGAGAAATGATTTAAGGGCCCATAATTTAACAATGGATATGGTGCTGAACAGAATAGAATGGTAGAGCAGGATTCATGTAGTCAACTCCATATAGTTGGGACAAGGCTTACAAGGAGATGATGATGATTATAAGTGCAAAATAGGTTTAAGTATAATATCCCTAAAAAGCATATCATAATATGTACACTTTGATAATGAAACCCAAATAAGTCATAGAAAAGAAGAAAATATTGTATAGAACTCATCTTTGTTAACACATGAACAATTCATATTATGGTGGGATAAAAAAAGAAGGGTCACAAATTAAGATGGGGCCCCTTACATGAGGGTGTGGATTTAACCAATGGATTGGTGTCAGAAGGGACTTAAAGACTGATATAATATGGGGCACGGTATTTAAGTAGGTTCTAACCTGATGCCTTAAGACTGCACGTCATGGTAGGGATCCCTCATTAACTCACAGTCCAGAAAAGAATACCAGTAAAGTTTGCAGAGGCACAAGATCTCTTTTAGTATTGTTGTTTAAAAAAAATGTACTACTAATACATGGACTATTTGATCTAGATTGCTGAATTCTGATGGTGAAAATGAAATTTCACAAAAAAAGATACAACCTTCAATTGCTGGCCTGCAAGTTTAGCTGGCCTTTCACTCCACCATGAGGTTAATTGACTCAAAGTGATTCCATACTTTCGTCCATAAGACCATGTCACAGGAAGAACAAACTGCATACACTCATTAACATGCAAGTCAACCTTCAAGATCAATTTTTGAAAAAAAAGAGAAATTATAAAGACACATAAAAGCAAATACAGAAGAGAAGGGCGTAAATCATGTTTAAGTACTTGGTCCTGGTACTACTGAAGTGGCTCATTGAAAATGAAAAGATATTTTACTTCACTAAGATTTTTATCATATAATAAACAATGAACCAAACAACACAAACAATTTTTAGAAATGGGTTATGCTTCCATTAAAAGAAGACTTTATAAGGGTTACCCTACCTCCTAAACAGATGTAATTTTTCTTCTAAGCAGCCAATTTCTTTGAAAACCTTTCCACCACTGAATCCCCAAAACAAGCACCCTAGGTTACAATTATCCCTTGGAAAAATAGGAGATAATGCCCAGTGGTGTTTTTTTTCCAACATACCAAATTTATTTTTGTATTTCGTTTTAGTAACATGCCACGATAGCATCAGCAATTTCATTAGAATGTTTTCTTTGCTAAATTCCAACACTCTTCTGCACTCCTCTTCTGGTAATGAAATAAACGGTTACCAACCTGCAAGGATGATATGCCACCCCATGCCTTCAAAAAGTCACCTTCATGAAGAAGTTTAAGATCTGGCACTGTTGGGGAATGATCAGAACTCAAGAGGTCAATGTGTCCTTCCTGAGACAGAGTTTTCATGAAAAATATATCAAACAATTGTAAACAAGACTATGGAAATACCAAGCACAGAAAGAGAATCATGGAACTAGAAAATACCATGATGGACGCCCATAGTTTTTCTCTATTGGTAGCATCACGAATGGGTGGGGCACATTTAAAGCGAGTATCACCATCCTGAATCTCTTCTGCAGAAAATGCTAGATAATGGGGGCAAGTTTCAACAGTTATGCTGTCACCACTGCTCTTGGCTCCCTATGAGAAGTAGATTATCATTCTAAATTCATCATGGAAGGAAACTCTTAGATTATGTGATTTTTTTAGAGGGATCAAAATTTCATCAGTAGTCATTGAGCTCAAGGGTGGGGGATTTGCACTTGTACATCACTGGACATATATCTAACTTGCTTGTACATACCATGATAAAAGTGGACTACATTATTTTAGGCCTCAAACATGAGTACCGGCAATAATATACTTTGGATATAATGTTAAAAACTAATTAAAATACAACCCTGCTTGGGGCCAACCTGTGTTTTCCGATCAGAAAATTACCATCTCACCAGTCACTACATAACTTTTTATGTATATTTGTTTGTGACTGTTTGTGTATGTATAAGAGTTTAAATGTATATATACAATATTATAAAGATAGTTGTTTATCATAGAATTTTCAATAGAGATAAGATTCTTGAATTGGAACTACAAAAGTTCATGAGATCAACACCACTCAAAGTAGAACATACGGAAGTAGATATACTGCTTAAATGAATCATCCAAGAAACAAGCAGGGTATTTCATCTAAATAACCATTACTTCTAAAATACAGAAAAATGTAAGACTTGTTTTAAACTTCAGGGGTAAAACAACATAATCAAATGCACTAGTCCACAAAAACTGATGAAAGGAAGGAGCTCCTTGAAGTGGTTTATCCTAAGGTCACTACTCTCCACGTTGATGTAGTCATACTAAAATATTCCATTATAGTATGACTAGTCTAGAATTTGGTTAAATCTAGAAAGTTGCTCTAAGTTATACATACATCCTTTTCCTAGACATGAACTGCATTTGGTTGTGTTCACTGTTTTATAGACCATTTTTTAGGTAAAGCTTCTCCATTGTCTTCATCGTAGGATATGAAAAGGATAAGTAGAGATAAAAAACATTTGGCTTCTTGTTAATTAAGTATGGAATGAAAATCAAGTTTTAAAATCAAACTGTTCAGAATATAGTAAGGATAATGGGATATTCATAACGAAAAGTTCAAGAATGGAGCTCCATACTCAATTTAAAGCAAAAACAAACAAACTAAAAAAGGACACTGATTGTACCTTAATAAGATCCAAGGAAGCTGTTGCATCTGACAAATGAACAATGTGAAGATGAGCTCCTTCTGCACGTCCCCCGCTCCTTGTGTCATTTGTTACTGTTAACAACTCTCTAATAGCCGCCTCCTCCCTGATTGAAAGGAAAATGGAAGAAAGGAAACAATCAGAAAACCATATTACAAGGTTTATTATATTTAAAAAGTCTATGCAAGTTCAGATTAAACTTCAAAGTTTCACATTGCACATGTTTCTGATTGGCAACATAGGTTTTATTGATTATGAGTGAATGAATGAAAGAATGGTATACAAGGTAGAAGTTTGATATTGAACATTCCTAATGATGGATGGCTATTCTTTAAGCTAATCTTGCCCAGAAGAAAAACTAAAGAAACACATAATTTATTTGTAATCAGTTATATAGAAATGACCCAAAAACCATAAAACCATATAACCATATAACCATAACCACACACATAAAACCATATAACCATATATATACATACTATATATACATACTATCTATATATATGTATATACATACATACATATATATGTATATATATATATATACATACTATATATAC